CACCACCAGCACTGCTCAAGCAAAGTGGGGTAATAATGCAGAAGAGACATTTCAGGGGGGGATTCTTGAGTTGGTTGTGTGGTTGAACTCCTCAGTTTTTAAGTTTAATCTCTGGGATTGTCATTTCATTCCCAGGAAAAAGGAAAATTAAAGGAGCACCTGCAGAACTCTATCTTTATCGCAGACCCTGAGTCCTTTGCTGTCATTTTACGTAGCGGACAGTACGGTGCGTTCAGAGAGTCCCTTGTGTCTGAGAGGGCTTGTGGAGCTGACTGCTGGTGCCTCAGGACTTGGACAGCCCTGAAGGGTGGAGAGCTGGGGTGGTATCTGACCTGGGCCTTGACAGATGGCTTAGATTTGGTCTCAGAATTACCATGGTGGCAAGAACAAAGTGATCCAAGTACGTCAGTGATTAAAGTAATCAACTTCCATTAGAGCAGATGAAGCGCTACCCCAGATGGGCTCCCCCTAAGTCCATTCATGCTTATACTTCAACCTGGGCCACCACAGTCACCGTTTCCTTAGAGAGCTGCTCTCCTCCGTTAACATTAACCATTGTTAGCTTCCTAGAACTCTATGAGGTGGCCATCTACCTCCGCCCTGAAAGGTTTCGCAAGCTTCCAACAAGTCTTCCTAGACAACCCAGATTTTCATCACACACAGCAGTGGGATTGAAAAACTACCACCAGCTGGTGGACCACGTTTAAGTGTTGACTGAGTTTAACTGTTCAATATTTTAGCCACATTTTTGATGGACGTGTATATGTACTCATGTAAAGGCATCAGGCTAACTCGGTGTTCAGTGTCTTTTTATGAGTTTGACGTTCTTTGGAAATTTTTCCCTAAATGTTTTTGTGTTACTAAATTTAGTTATTATAAGACTTTGAATCTCAAACAGGTTGTATTGTTTTTAGTTGTGCTCTGCACACTTCCCTGCAGATTGAAGGGAGAATGATCACGGAGCAGCTACAGTTCTGAGGCAGAGCACAGTGCTAGTTCCAGTACAAAGCTGTAGATGAATAGTGAGACAGAGGTATCTAAACCTCTTAACTCAAATAAAGTTAAAGTAAAAAGGAAGATATATGTAATAAATATATTCTATGTGGGATAATAACAGAGTTTTACAGAAATCACATTAATTTACACATAAGTTTTAATCACAGAAATTTTATAGAAAAAAAGGGAAACAGATGCCCATTTCTTTACCTCAAATCAGTGCCTATATCAGTGCCTGAAAATAATACATACTGTTGGTTTAGCATACATCATTTCCAGATCCTCTACTATACTTGTACATATGTGTGAAAATGAATTTTAGTAAGAATGAAATTTACTATACATATTGTTTTGCAACTCACATTATAGAAGGTAATCTGCTTTACTCAAATATCTGGGTACCACACTATGGCTTAGCCAAGTTATACATAAAATTAATCATCATAAGTCAATTGGAGTCAACTTGAAATCCATAGACATCTCTTTAAACCATCCAAATCTCCAAATAAAGACAGTAAGACTTTATTTTTGCCTAACAGAATATAATTATCCTGTATACAACTGAAAATGCACTAATCTTATCCCCAGAGGAGGGTGCAAAGTGCAAGGGTAATGTTTGCTCTCTTTTTGTTTTTTACCTTACACACCAAGTTTGAACCCAGGGTCTTCACACAGAGCTACATCCTCAAATCTCTGTGGGAAGAAGTGTTATATTTTAACACATTTATACAACATGCAATTATCAAATCAGGATACCTGGTATAAGCACCATCTCAAATTTTTATCATTTCTTTGTGTCAGGAACACTCAAAATTCTCTCTACAATTTTGCCAAATTTCTGAGATACAGTCAAATACAATCATTGTTAAAGGACATATGGAAATGGACAAATGACCATGGTGTTTTCTTAGGATAAAAGTAGAAAAGGTGAATGGATTGGAGAAAGAGTTGACTCTGAGAAAAAAATGGGAAATTAATTTTTATAAGTAGAACAGAAGAGTTTAGTAGGATTTGGAAAGACAGATAAAGGGTCTATACTTGATTCAGTAGAAAATTCGGAATGTGAGATTCATAGTTTGAAATTAAAAAAATAAATATGTGATGAAAATTTAAAGAAAATAAGTCTGTCAGTGGCCTGTGGAAAAGGTAAAGACCTGTTGTCAGCATGGCCAAGAAAGTCATTATTACAAGCTCATGGAACTGAGCTAAACGGGAGGAGCCAGAGCCAATCACTGGGAATGATCAAGGCCTCAGAGGGAACATGGACACTTCCCGGGGCCTGGTGGGCACAGGAATGACGTACTATGGATATGTTCTACCCATCCTGAGCTCCACTTCCCTGGAGATCTCTCTGCAGTCCCATCTCCTTCGAGCTCAGGCTGGATCATCTGTTTGAGTTGGTTTCTTACCTCTTCTTGGAGCAAAGCCCTCATTGGCCTCCATCTATAGAGAATATTCTTATTTAATTTTTGTTTCATTTGCTAACCTTGCCCTCACGCATTTGGGAGCCCAGCCTTTCCACACAGAAGTGAGGAGAGCAGAGTCAAAGTTGCACAGGTACAAAGAAGAAATGCCTGAGCAGATTGATCCGGAGCCAAGTGATGCTTTTAGTCAACCTCGGATATTACAGTAACCAGTCTTAAAATTAAGAGTACACTCCCCTCACTGGCACAGAAGGGGCATAGCTTGGTAAAAGTGTTTGTTCTTCCTGTACCCCAACGGCATGTTTGTGTATAACACAGATCCCTGTTCTCTTAGTTGTATCTAGAATCAGATATTTTAGAGCCAAGGATCATACTGATGGTTATCAAAGTCATTTCTTCTGTTTTGCATAAAAATAAAACAAAACAAACAAACATGCTAAAAGTAAGTGTTACCCAAAGTTTTTCTGGGTGCCTCTCCAGGTCTGCACACATCCACTCAAAGGCTCTCTCTGCCAGGAACGAGGCCCTCAGAACTCACCAAAGGGCAGCCATGCCCATCCTGGCCCCTTTCTTGTCTCAGAACCAGAATCACAGTCAAAGCTAGAAAAGCCAATGTTGTAAGGGCTCAATTTGAGGGGTGGCCCCATTTTCCCATTCTGTGTGCAAGGCCCTACTCCAAGAGCTCGAGAGCTTGAAATTACCACATCATTCATTTTTGGGTCAAGATACATATATATATTTGAAACTCCAGGTTGAAATGAAAACATTGGCTGGGTGGTAAAAGTGGGGTTGTTTTTGTTGTTTGTTATTTGCCATTAGGAATTAAATTCAAGTTAATTTATATTAATAGGACAGGAACTCAGAATAAAATCATGTCTGTGGACAGAGCAGGATGGATAGGGAGTCAAGTGTGTCCCTTGTTGAGGTCTCAGAGTTCTGATGGGCTGAAAACACACTTTTTTTCTTCTTATACATACTCATCCTGCAGCCCAAGTGAGCACCAATGTGAGAGACGACTCCCTACAGCAGAGCAGAGAAGGGCAGAGTCTAGCAAAGGTTCCCATGCCCACCCTGTGGCCTTACTTCCCTCTGCTCTCAGATACTCTTATCTGCCTGGTCATGAGAGGTAGATGGTCAGCAACTGTCTGGACTCCGGAAAATTTCCCAGAAACCTCCCCAGTACCTGCATTACTTACTCTAGACATGATTTTTCTCTCCTCCTACATCCCCACAGCCTCAGTCTCCTGGCTCAGAGATACCTAACCTCAAGCCTTATGTCTATCTGATTTTTGGAGCATGATATCTGAACCCGGATTTTTCTCCTAAAGGATCACCTTTTCACCTTTCGTATTTTTTTTCCTTCTGACCCTAGTTCAATTTCCTAAAATCTTGTCTTCATCTTCACCCAGGAAGGGACATCCACTATTCAGGGATTATAGAATGATCACAATATCAAATACAAAGACATAGTAACTAGCCAGTTAGCATAATCATTTAGAACTATTTCATTTCCTCTCAAGCACTGTTATTAAAAGTCATGCTAAAGTGATTATTTAACTAGTATGATCTTCTCACTGGAAAAATAGAAGCTTCAAAAATATAGCTTTTTCTTGTGTCTTTTATGATCACTATTCAAAACGCAGTATCTAGGACACAGCAAATCTTCAATAAACATATCCTGAATGCATGAATGAACAGAGATTCATAAAAGCTTCCATTATACAGATAGCTAACATAACATAATGATATCTGTAAGAGCAACAGCACACATAATTAGAATTGTATATATGAACACATAAATGCACTCATTTTAATCCAGAGACTTAGTCCCAAGATTGAAGTTCTCTGTAAGAGGAGCAGCCATCTCCTTAGTTATTACAATTTGAGAGGAGTGGGAAGTTCCCTTGACCAAAAATTATTTTCACCTGTCTCTCCAAAACCTTGCCTTGCTATTAAGAGAGGCAATATTTTAGGCCTATTTGCAAATGCAAATGTGTTCAGAGTGTGGGGAGCATGTTAAACCACTGCCTGGGCTCTTTTTGGACCTAAGAATATTCCTTTCCAAATGAGCAATTGGTCTCTAACGAAAGGATGGGGCAATTGGGTGGTAAGAAATCACAGGAAAAGGTACCGGAGAAGGAAAGCCAAACAGAAAAGCAGAACTACTGCAGAAAGGCCATGGATAGTGCCTCCCTCCTCTAGATTTTCCAGTCAAACTGGGGCTCAGGCAGGGCCAGCATCGTTGGACAACTTCTAGAGCAGAGCTGCAAGGAGCCCCCAGCACCCCAAGGCCAGGAGCGTCTGCCAGCTATTTGGTAAGTGGCATTTTCTATTTCCTGCCTGTCCTCTCTGCTGGTTCACTCAAGCACACACAGATATCTCACTGGAAGAGCTTAATTTCTGTAATATCCCACTTTGAAAGTACAGACTGTGAATCAAGCCCGACAGGCACAGGTTTCAAGCATGTACTCTGCCCTCTCTCTCCTCTTTGCCAACCATCAGCCCAACCTCTGCACCTCTGCCCAAGATGCAGCCTTTCTCAAACCACTCTCCCAGATTACAGGCTTCCTAAGGACATACCTGTCACCAGTGCCCATCCACCACAGCGCCTGGAGACCAGACACACAAGCACAGCAGCATTCCCGAGAAACACAGGAGCGAGGGGTTAAGAAGAATTGAAAAGAAGTCTTTGCCAGCTCCCCAGGCCTTCTGACTCCTTGTAAAGTGAGAAATAATCTCAGGACTGAGGCAAACACAGAAAGGGGAACTGACTAGACAGAAGCAACACCACAGATGGGGGGAGCGTTCTTTCGTGGTTCCAGATAACTTCTACCGGCAGGTGGGCATTTCCACTGATGAGAATGATTACAAGCGCACCCTCCGACAGCAAGCTAGTGTAAAGCCCTGAGGAAACCCCCAAAGACAGCCCTGTCCACAAATACGACAGGCACCTTTCCTGGAGGAATCAGAGAGACCCAGAGGTGCAATCCTTAAGTCCAAAGTCACAGAATCAGCTCTGCTCAGCCTGTACCATGTGCTGGCACTTGGTGTGGCCCCACAGGGAGGCAAGAGCCAGACCTCCACCAGAGACAGCAGAGCCCAAACGTTCATGCAAGACCTCTCCAAGGACCCTGCTAGAAACTACTTTGCCTATACAGACCCCAGCGTCACAATTTCTCCCGTACCTTCTGTGGGAATTGACAGTTTCTTCCCACTGTTCCTGGAAGTGGGTGGTACTTTTCAGTTTAGGGGCAGGTCATAAGCAGAAGTGGGAAAGGTGTGTGAATGCTGAATAGATTTCTGTACACCTAGTATTGAGGATGAGATAAGCACTGTATGCATAACTCATGTATTTTTTTTCTTTTTTCCCCCCTGCTTCAGGCCCAAGGCTCCTTTTTTGGCTCAGTCCGGCTCTGCAAAGCCCTCTGCTCAGTGGTGGACATGGGGGCAGGTGTGTTCCTCTGCAGGTTGCAGCACCAGAGCCCAGAAGGAGAGAGGCAGACACAGTAAGTGTTTCCCTTGCTTTCTCAGAGGCTGGCGGTGGCCTACAGGGCTGGAGATATGAAAAGTGAGAAAGTGAAAGTTGTTTGTTGTTGTCTGGGCTGAGGAAGCTCACCCAAAAGAGGCACATGTTGTGGGGGCAAGATCATAGGCTGGGAACTCATGGCCTGTGTCAAATCGCGACTTGGCCACTGGACCCTGTGCAAGTTATGGACCATCCAGGCTTCTCCCCTAGGAACTGTGACTAGTAATAGCTTTTCTGGCTGCGCTGTTGGGAAAGACAAGTGAGCCTTTACATGTAAATCGACTGTTCAGTCCTCCCGATCACTTTCCTTTTTTTTTTTTTTTTTTCTTTTTCCTTTTTTTATCGTTACCGGGGATCAAACTCACGACTGCCTGTTTGCAAGAAAATAGGAAAGTCTATTTTCTTTTGAGTCTGGCCTGTTTCTCATTTTGACCATGCCATAAAGATCTTCCTCCTACCGCTAAGCAAGCAGTGGCAGTGCTTCGCAAACAGGCCTGTAAACCCCAACAGCCTGGTCCTGACTCACCGAGCTACTTCCCCTTGGCCACTCTTATGCACGTCTTGGAAACTTTATCCCCTGGTTGGATAGGCTGTACCTGGGGTTTTCCTCTGGATTTTACAATCGCAACCTTCTTTTATTTGAAGGATCCGTGTGATTTTCCTACCGTAACACAAGACATTACCCACCTATCAGAGCAAAGGAGAATTCATTCATATTTTACTTTATTTTCCACAGTCCTCTTTTTCTTCATATTTTGTAATCAAAATACAAGATCAGCTAAACTGAAAGTGCTGCTATCAAAATAATTTGAAACAATATTTCCCAAACCAGGCATTATAGCTTGTAGTATTGCTTCAGTTTTATGTCAAATCTCTATTATCGTCTAGCATTTTTCTCTTAATGAAAATTTATTTTAAATCTTTACACTAGTGCTAAAAATTTAGAAAACAGTACTCTTTGCCATAAATAAAAGATGAGTAAGGATAACACATCACAGTGGGTTTGGGAGTCTCAGAGAGTTATTTTTGTATCCTGGCTCCACTACCGTTCCTTAGTGATCTTAAGGAAGTTGATTTCTCCAAGTCTGGGATTCCTTGTAGAAATACTGTAACAAAACACTCCCAGGCTTGCTGTGAGGATTACATAGAATGATATAGATATGAGACCTGGCACAAATCCTGGAACACAGAAGGAGGTCCTTTTCCTTTTAAAGGGTTGTTTTCCCTTTTTCCATGTACTTTCTCCCTTTACTCCAGTTCCTGCTAAGAGCAGCTTCCTCTGATGCTGTAACATAGAAGTATGTTAAAGGAAGTGAAGGAGGTGAGGGGTGTGGTGGGCAGGCACCAGAAATAAGAGATGCTGCAGTGCCAGGGAATTCTCTGTGATTTAGAGTTGCGTGGCTGTAAGGGGATTTCAGAGATCATCATGCCAGTCTCTGTGCAAGGACTCCTCAGTGTCATGTCTGCGGGATACACCTCTAGCCTTTGCTGTTTCACGTGGCAAACCAAAAACTGACAATCTAATTTTTAACAAAACTTAGAAATTTTTTTTTAAAAATCACAAATCTCCTTCTTACTTCCCAGATGCACAAACACCATATAGCTGGTCCTGCCCTGTTTTCTAGGGTTATCAGAATATATTCTTATATATTTTAGAATAACACTGTCCAAATACCTGAAAGTAACTCTTATAGATTTCCCCTTGCCAAACATTCCCAGAGTCTGAGAATGCTCCTCCTCGCTGTGGTCTCTAGGACCCTAATCCATGGGGCTCTCCCTTCATCTACCCCGTGTCTCTGAGAAAGTCAACCTACCTTCTAGCAGAGAGGCGATGTCACGGAACATGCAGTATACAGATGACTTTCCTTCGTGAGTCAGAGATCGCGTTAACCTTACAGCACTTGCAGGAGGTTGGCTGACCATGGTTTTTTTTTTTTTTTTTCACACAAGTCAGATCAACGCCCCTATCCTGTCTTGTTTGTGTCAGTGTTTCAGGCCCCAGCATTCAGCCAATCAGAAGGCCTCTGCCCATCCATGTCATCAAAGCCGAGGGCCAGACAGGGTGCCACAGTGAGGGAAGGGAGGCTGAGCAGCATGAAAATCAGGCTTTGCTCTTGGTAAGAAGGAAGTTGCTGGTAACCTCAGAAAGTCGCTGAGTGAACCTGCTTCCTCCACTACCGCATCCTGGGATGTCCTCAAGTCTGAGGCCCAGGCTGCAAGGAGATCATCGGGAAGGGGAGAAGCCACAGTGACTGCAGGCAGGTGGAGGACGGATATCTTCCTGACCACCCAGCCATTGCCCAAGACATAGTTCTGTGGATCTACTCTGTGTGACAAATCCAAAAATGTGCAAGCAATCAGAAACATCCAAATCATTGGCTAAAATTTCCCTTTTCAGCTGTACACACAGTTAGTTGCTGTGTATACGTGACCCCTTGTGGGCTTAAATTATTCTAGATGGTGGTGGAAGTGATGGTTCCAACAGGGATAAAGTCATTTCCGCAAATAATGATAGTTGCATTACTGAAATGTTCATGAGTATTTGTTTTCTAAACTTTCTCCACCCAGAGATGGGAGGGGAGCAAAAGAGAGCAAAACTCAAAGTGTCTTCTTGACATCTGTGAAAGCGCATGGAAGAGATGACACAAGGGTCCTGTATTTTTAACTCTTCCTCTTTTTGTGATGCAAGAGGAAGGGAGGACAGCAGAGAAAGTTTTGGGTTCTGTGAGCAGTAGAAACCTAAGTTCCCCTCCCTCAGTTCTCTCTGGGGGGTGGGTGACAGATCACTCCAGGAGTGGTGGCTCACTCCAAGGAGGCAGTGCCTACAGCTCAGGAGGCCGGGCTCAGTCCCCACTGTGGCACAGGGAGCTGCCAGACTTCGCAGGGTCTCGGGTGGTAAGAGCACCACTGGCACTCAGCACCAACTAGGCAGTTGAGGAACTTTGTATGGTTTCTCAGGCACCAAGTGAACTTGAATTCTAACTGGGCTGCAGAAGAGGAAGGGGACACCCTGCATAAATACGATGAAGTCTTCTGTCCAACTGACAGAATGGAGGCTTACGGGTGGGATTTGGGAGAGGTAAAAGGATTAAGGAAAGTGATGACCTCTTAGGTACTTGGCTGCAAGAACAGAATTCATACTGCAGGCAGAGTATAATCAACACTGGGGGAACAGACTGTTACTACAAACACAATTCCTGAACTGTTCTCAATTTCAAAGTTATACAGCTCGGGGCTGGGTCTTTCTCTGATCCCCAGGCCTGCTGTGCAAGCTTGCATAAAGTAGCCATCCACAACCTCTAGGACTCCACTAACAAAACACCAATGGGTCGATGGGTCCGCAGTTCACTGATAACGCCTGAGAAGGAGCTTGTAAGACATTCGCTACGAACTTGATTTTCACTGCTGCTATAAAACTGTTAATTGTAAGAGAGAAAGCAAGTCACAGACTGGGAGCAAAATAGTTTCAAAACAGACTGATAAAAGAATTTGTATCTAAAATATGCGAAGACCTCTTAGAACTCAAAGGTGAGAAAACAATCCAATTTTTAAAAGGCCAAAGGCCTAAATATCTACCTCATCAAAAAATATACAGGAGGCAAATAAACATATGAAAAATAGGTCAGCCTCATAGCCTGGAGAACTGCAAGTATCAAAACAACAACGTGATACCACTACACAGAGAGTGGAACTGCCAAAACTCCAAAATGTGATAATACCAAATGTTGTCAAGCCTATGGGCGACAGGAGTGTCACTCTCGGCTGGTACGGTACAAGATGATGAAATGACTTTGAAGACAGTTCAGCAGTTTCTTACAAAGCTAAACATACTTTTGCTATCCTAGCCAGAAATCACACTTTACGATATATTGAGCCAGTGGAGTTAAAAACACATCTGCACAAACACCTCCACACAACTGTGTATAGTAGCTTTATCCTAATGGTCAAAAAACTGAAAGCAACTAAGATGCCCTTCAATATAGGTGAACGGACAAACTGTGTTCATACATACGATGGAATATTGTTTAGTTATAAAAAGAAACAAACTATTGCAAAAACAGGGAGAAAGTTTAAAAGTTTGTTGTTTAAGGACAGAAGCCAGGCAGAACAGGCTACATACTGTATGATCCCAATACGACACTCTGGAAAAGCCAGCATCACGGAGGATAGTAACACAACAGCAGTTGCCAGGGACTTAGAAAGAGGTAGGTAGAGATAAATAGGT